GATATGGAAACAAACACACTTGGACTTTGCATGTTTTTTGTGACTCGAGCTAGAGAGCTTACGCGACCGTGATTTTCTTATGTTGCAAAAACAATGGTGACACATGCGTAAATTTTCTGATCACAAAATCTCGTGTTGCACCTTTAAAAAAGATGACAATACCACGTCTTGAGCTTTTAGTCTGTGTTTTAGGAGTACGTCTAGCAAAGTGTGTTGTAGAGGCATTATCCTTAGACGAAATTGAAAAACATTACTGGTCTGATTCCACCACAGCTCTGTCATGGATCAAGCGCAATGATCAATGGGGAACTTTTGTAGGAAATCGTGTCAGAAGAGATTTGTGCACTTTCAGAGGAAAATCAGTGGTTTTACGTGCCAAGCCAGTTTAAATCCAGCTGATATACCATCTCGTGGTTGTACCCCTCATCAAATTCTAAAGAATTCATGGTGGGAGGGTCCTAACTGGTTAAAGAATCCGAAGGATAGTTGGCCACGACCTTTGAAATTAAACCCAATACCCAATGAGTTCATTAATTTCTTCCGAAATCAGAAAGAAAACTGTAAGTATTAAACGTTAGTGTGAGTACTGATACATGTAAGTGGTATGAAAAATATTCTAAATTTTGAGCAACTGTAAGAATTTTAGCATGGGTTCTAAGATTTATTAGACACTGTCAGGCAAAATCTGTAAATAGAGCAAAATTCTTGTCTGCAGCCGAGTTAAAAGATTAAAAAAACACTTTGAGTCTACTAGTTCAGCGCAAAAGTTTTTCTCAGACTGGAGATGTAATAAATGGTCTTTCAGTCATCAGAGATGAAATAGCACTGATAAGAGTGAAAACAAAGATTCTCGCAAGAGATGATGAATTTGGATTTAAATATCCAATTCTACTTCCGTCAAAGCATCATATTGTGCAAAGTCTAGTGCTCGAATACCATAAAAAAGGAATTCTCATGCCGGTGTTCAAATGCTCATGTCAATGATTAGAGAAGAATATGGATTATTTCAGCTAGACAAACAATTAGATCAATAATCAAGAAATGCATTACTGCAAGAGATTCACAACAAAGTCACCTTCAACCATACCATACCTATTCATTTACCTTTAGACAGAGTACGAGGACGCTCGAACTTTCGAAGTCACCCGAATTGACTTGTGTGGTCCCCTTATTCTTAGGAAAAGGACTAAAGCCTGGGTGGTGCTGTTTTACATGCGCAGTCTACAGAGCAATACATTTTGAAGAGATCGTGACATCCTTAAGTGCAGATTGATTGCTGTGCACTCGTGTTGAGAAGATTCAGTTCGCTCGAACGAGGCCGTCCGACAGTTATCTATAGTGACAACGGCACGAACTTTATCGGTGTCTCTTGTGCATTGAACCCAAACTTGAGTGGCAAAAGATAGCTGCTTTTGAAACTCTAAATCCAATTAACTGGAAATTCATTCCCCCAACCACAGCATGGTGGGGCGGTTGGTGGGAGAGACTAATTTGCATAGTGAAAAATCTACTTGTTCGAGTTTTTGGTAAGTCATCTGTTACATATGAGGAACTGCTCACAGTTCTTTGTGACGCAGAAGCCACCGTTAACAACCGCCTGCTAACATACATCTCCAACGATGCACATGAGTTAAGGCCTCTAACACCATCCAACTTTCTCCAAGATGTAAAAGAGATTATTGGAACAGGCTGATCTTGATCACTTTGGATAGGAAATAAACTGGTAAAGAGAGAACATTATTGCCAAGAATTGCTGCAGTGAACAATTCAGACGACGATTCCAGGAAAGAATACTTAGGTCAGTTGGTGCAAAAAGCTGGCACATCTGAGACAAAATTTTCAAAGTTGGAGAAGTGGTCCTTGTTGGTTCTGAAAACCAAGAAGAGACTTAATTGGCCACTTGCAGTGATTGAAGAACTGTATCCAGGTTAGCGAGAGACGGCCATGTGAGAGTCGTCAAAGTCAAAACTCCACTTAAACTCACGTTCGTCCAGTCTCAAAAGATTTGTCGACCTCCAAAGGATTTACCCTCTAGAAGTTAATTCTTCTGGGGATCCCATTATACCAAGATCAACATCCTACTAATGACCCACCAGCAACATCACAGAATGACATTCCAATTCAGAAGGATGTTTCAGCAGGGCTCCTCGGACGTCAAGAAGCGGTAGAGTAATCAAGATATCGACCTAAGAGACTGGGCTGTTGAACTTTCCGAAACTTTGTTGATTTACCTCGAATGTGGCAAATCAAGGTAGGAGGATGTTACGTAATGCCGTCAATAAACTTCGGAAGATATCCATAAGACTGTTTTATGAATAACTTTATTCAATGAACACGAGACTTTTAATGTATTAATGTTTTAATGATGCGAGTTTTATGTAGCCTTTTTTTGTGGATGGCATCAGTTTTCGGCGTTGCCATGCACGTTCTGATACGTGTTTGCTTAGTGATAGAAGTGTTCTGTGAATTTAATGCTGATATTAATTGAATTATTATATTGTATTTTTGTGTTCTGTTTATTGAATAATGTCCTAGTTCCTGTTTTACTTCAAAGAAAACTATGAAAATGCTTATATCGAGTATTAATAAAAGTGTTTATTCGTCAAGAAGCATGTGCAGAATTCAAGTAGATAAGATTTATTTCTTTTTCTATAAATATTGAAATTGTAAACAGATATTCTAATAGTAGACTCACTGTGTCTAATTATTATTAAGGTTTATATACGTATATTAAGAACCTGTGCAGAACAACCTTTGACGGGTAGTCTCGGCGTACTTCTGATTTTTTGGTATTTTCGTTACAATACTGCTTTTAATGGGTAGAAACTGTTAAGATTGCATCCAATGATAAAAAGCCATGAAAGAAAACAAAAACAAAATATTTCTTAATTAAGTGAATACAATGGGAAAGGTAAAATTGCTACTATTTTCTCTCTCTCACTCTCTTTTTTCTATTATTATTCAGAAACTGTAATTTCACAGTTTTTGTAGTTATGTGAGCAAGTACATTTTTACTACTCTAAAAATATCAGATTTTGGGTGTCGCTTTAAAGCAGTTTTCAAGCACTATAAATACTTGCATGTTTGGGCACTTCATGGCTTCAGTTTCACAAATGAAATTTGACCACTTTTAGACACAAAAGACATAATCGGTGCTTATTCAGCTTTTTCCTTCCATTATTGATATTTCAGTAAGCAAGCAAACTATTGATTGTTGTTTCATCAATGGTTCAAAGCATACTCCCATTTGGCCATCTATAATGATTTCTGAAACAGTTTGACTTTTGACAATGTTATTATTTTTAGCACAAATTTGCATCATAGATTGACTCCTTCCTATTTATCAGTCAGACCATGGTGCATCCACACAGAAAATTACTTTCTGAAACTCAACAAATCATAAAAAATTAAATTCCTAAATTTGATCTAATCTATCAGATATCCTATACACACACATAGTTGATTTAGCATTCATGATACTTTTTGAAAACTAATGGCCTTCATGAAAACTCCCTTCTGGGAATAATTCTCCGATTTAAAATAAATACGTCATCTAAATAATATAGCATATGAAAAGATTTTATCTTCTGAACATGATGCTACATTTTTATAGTATTCCTCTGCATTTAAACGACCAAAAATAGGTAAATGTAAAGCATCGAAATCTTTCCCATTCAGGGAGATGACGTTTATGGGATTATGAATGCCTTTGACACTTCTCATGGACATTGGGTTACAAACAAGTTTTTATACATAAAACAATCCACTTAAGGTGTAAGCTTAAAGGATATGATAATGTTAAGCATTTAATTTTTATACAGGGCCGTTCCTAGCAGGGGTGCAGCGCATAAAAGTACACGGGCGGCCAGACTCTCGCGATACCCTGCCTATATTTTATTCATTGTAAGTACTTGTCATATATAAGTATGTTTTATACAATTTGTCATACGCAAGTATTTAGTGAGTATGAAATAAAAAATTTATTAATCATTGAGCTTTTTTTAAATTTTGGGGTGGCAATCTTAGGAAAGTACACAGGCAGCCAATGGTCTAGAAACGACCCTGTTCTTATAAAATTTAAGTATCTCAAAGCCATTCCCTTATTAAAGAAATTATGTAAGTGAAAATACTTATATGGGAGTTCAGCTTATTACTCAAAAATTCATTATTTATAAAAGATTTACAATGAAAAGCTGATTTCATTTAAACTCAATAAAAAACGCTGGCTCACACTAAATTTCCCAATATGAATAAACTATTTAAATCTTAATTTCAAAGAGATTTAAAAGAACTTCATTATGAAAATGTATGGTTAATTAATTTATGAAATAAAAGAATATTGAAATGTGAGTTAGAATATGGAATATTAAAAAAATTCAGAAAAATGATAAAATGAAAATAAATGTAATTTAGTAAAAATACAGTCAAATGTGAAATAATACATTTAAAAGTAATTAAAAGGAAAAATACATATTGTATTATACTAAACATGAAAATACACACTTAAGAAGTTTTTTAATTTATGCTAGCATGAGCTAATATGATTATACATTCATGAATTTACTCATATTTTTGAAGTTTAAACAACTAAAGAGAAAAGAGTCGCATGAAGAAAATCCATTTTCATAAAAAGTATCAAATTTTTTACAAGCCTTTTTATTCACCAGTTTGTATTACTAAAAGAATACAAATAAAAGTTTTATAATATAATAAATAACAATTATAATATAATAAATAATAATCTTATAATATAATAAAAGGGATTTTAATTCACCTTTTATGTCTTTTAAATACACTTGGCATACATATATCAAAATATTACATTTGCAAGTAATTATAAATTCAAAATATGTGAGGCAGAGTATTAGCAAATTATCAGAAATTAAACAGTAGCCAATAATTCGACTAATAATAATAGCAATAAAAATAACTACTATTTAAATCCATTGAAAAAATAAAAATTTTGAGAGAATAAAAAAAAATTCCCAAAATATATTTACCAAGCATGAATTTCACTTTTGGTTTCATAACATCAAGGGAAACAGGCACAGGTAGGGGTGATTCACCAACAGGCTTATCCAGAGCCGTATCTGTGAAACTAGTGGGCAAGACATTTTCTTCTATAGATGTCTTCGAGCTGCTGGGCAAATTAATAGATGGGCTGGAAGGTAAGATGTTTGTCTTCACTGACAGACGCTGCATAACAAAAGAGAAAATCTAACGCTTGTGTGAACTTAAGATAAATTCTGAACACTCAATATTTATTAGTTTGCTTAAATTTAAGCATAAATGATGTGCAACTTAAATTTTTATAAGCCATGTTTCATTTGTAAAGACAGCACAGAAGTAGTATGTGATGACACTGCAGAAAGATCAAAGATTAATGGTTTATTTATGAATGAATGCAAGCATGTATCATCTGATGAAACATGAATAATGAAAAGATTATTTATTTAATTACTCTAGTATGTATGAAGAATTAAAAATTAGTGACAACATTTTAATCTTGCTAGTTATATTTTAAATATTCTTAGAATTTCTTAGATGTTAGATTAAAAATTATTACTATAAAATGTATATTATACATACATATAGTATATATGTACATACACACACATGTACTACATATATTTTGTCATACACTGCATAAAGACAGGTAAAGAAAGGAATTTTAAATTAATGTTTTCTGAGTAAAAACATGAGATTTGAAAAGTTAGGTCTGGGACAGAAAAATTTTTCAGCTAATTTAAATACCTTAAAGTTCCAAAATATATAGTGACAATATACAGGTCTTAGTTATATAATAAATCTAGGCTTAGTCAAGTAAACATAAAAAAATCCGACATGTAAAATATGCCATTTTTAAATATAAAAAATTAGAACGTTCAAAACTCCCACACTTATATTTAAAACAATTTCATAAAAAGAGGTTCTTAAAGAGAAAAGACCACACATTTTTAGCAAGAAAATTTAGAGTTTGATTTAAACTGATTTTATGCCATACACAACAGAATATTCATTATATATGATAAAGCATAATCTTGAGACAACTAAAAAATTTTATATTTCACCCTTTTATAAATTTATGAAACAATTTTCCCCCATATGTTGTTTTCTTCCTTTCAAAATATTTTAACACCAGCCATTTTTTTAACTACTTTTTTCTAAACTTCTTTGGAAAATAACTTAGATTTCTGACTTCTGTAGAATAAATTTCTCTTTTTTTTTTCAAAGACTTTTTAATGTTTTATTATTATCATTATTATTTTCTTTAGAATGCAAAACACTAAAAAAGTCTTTTTAGCAGTAACAGATGTATATAGGGTTACTTTCTGAAATTAATTAAAGTTCTTAAATCTTATTAAAGACTGTCAAGTAAGTTACTACTCCACATGTGAAATTAACTGCTTCAACCCAAGAGAATTTAAACATCTCTCTTTTTTTTTTTTTTTTTTTTTTTTTACTAAAAGTTTTAAACTGAAGAAAATGCATGACTTATAATTTAATTCTCTGCAATCCTTGGTTATTTGTTACCAAAAAGGTGAATTTGCAATAGAGACTACAAAGCAAACAGCCTAACATACATTGGCTCAATTAGTAAGTGCATGATTTGACTGTGACTAGCAAAATGGCTGAAGCCAGACAACTAATTCACAGAGTTGGGAAGAAAAGATTACTACATTCTATATAGAGCATCGTGGCCAAAGCTCTCTGTCTAAAACTTTCAAGAACTACATCATAACACAGTTTACGTCTTGGTGAAAGCTAATGAAAAGCTAAAGAGATAATTAAATTCCAAATTGTAAGAAAATGGTTTAATTAACTTAAAATGATATTTTAGAAGACTTCAAAAGTTTAAAAATCCATAAAATGTTTAGAAAATATTTTAGCAGATTTCAGAAACTCTCTGGCTGTTAGAATAATTTATCCATAATTACTGTTTCATAGAATAATTTTATAATACACCAATTTAGTGTGATACCATATATGAAATTATACACTTGTTGATAGTTAATATAGTAAACTAATACTGACAATGAGGTGAGATTACTAATTAACATACACTTAACTAATTAACTTAACAGCATAAAGGGATGGAGGGGCTAATATTTTCTAAAGTAGAATAATGTTAAATTGCACATACTTATGGCCATTCTTTAAAAAACTTAAGGCCTACCTTCGCTTAAAATTATGAATAACTTTTAATTACCGATTATTCTTTTAAAATTTCTTTTCTGGAAATATTCCATTTAATATATTCTTTCTCGTTCTTTATAACAATACTTTTTCTTTTAAGAGAGAAAGATTATGTGAGTAAGTAACTAGTTCCATAGCTACAAAATTTATCAGCATCTTTTTCAAAATCACACCATGTTGTAAGAAATGAATATGTACACTTAATACATGATGCACAATTTAGAATAAAAGGAATTTACTGAAAGACTTTTATGGCATATATCCCTTAATAATTAGCAATAGTATTACACATAGATAAACTAAACCACACCTTAAACCATCAGATGTTCTGCCTTGCTTTAAAAATCCTCGAAGAACTGATTTCAAAGGGACTTTCTCAGAAGTTCTACTCTTTGAAGGATCTATTGTATTTTCCAAAGATGAAGAACTGCCAACATAAAATTGGACTTTTTCATCTCCATCTGAATGTATCTACAGAAATTGATAAAGGAAATTTCTAAATTGTCTTAAGTTTCTAAAACAATTTGAATGAAATGTATACTGACCACAGATTATGAGAAACTGGATAATTCAGTCAGTTTATATCTTAATGCAGAAAGTAAAACTAAAAAATATAATAATAATTACAGATAAAAACTGGTTTAATTAATTCAAGCAACTTTTTTAAGTTAATACCTTTTTTCCATATTTCTAACAAAAAAAAAAAAAAAAAAAAAAAAAACCTTCGTTTAGTAAAATTTTTATTATTATTGAATAGATTTTCAAAATTTTCCATATTTTAGTTTTGAAAGGAAAATCAGTCAATTAAATTCAAGATTTCGCAAAAATCAATAAATTTTTCTTGAAAATCAGTAATCTAATTTGAATTTGCATTAAGTCTTCTTTAAACACAAGTGAATGTTATTATTTTCAATGATCCATGCCCCTCTTATCTGATAAATTATGATTTTCCATACATGAAAAAGCTATCCCTCCCTCAAAGTATGAAACTAAAATTCAGTATTTGAATATGAAAATTTCATTCTTTAAATTTATTGTTTTAAATACAGTACAGTAAATTAGTCATAAATATATGTAATGATTTGTGCATGGTACCGAAGGCCTTTTTATTCACATTCAACACATTTACACATTTTTTTCATCATGAAAATCTTTACAAAATTTTTTCAGTGGATTTTCATATAGGATATTAACATGATAAATGTTTTTCTAAGGAAGAATAACAAACTAAAAAGGTGCAATGTCTCACAGCCACTACCTTCCACAAACTACCACCTTTGAAAGTGATAAGCACTTTAGATAGTAAAAATAAGCATTAGTACTGAACAACACTTCGCTTAGGAAACCATTTTCAGAAAGTCACTTGGAATCATGCTGATCTTATCAGAGAGGCTTCAGTGTATTTTATTTATTTAGAATTTGCTGGTTTTATATATTTAGAATTTAGAAGTTTGCTGGGTCGACGTAAAGAATTCAGTGAAGCTACTGGCTAGGATCTGTACCTAGACAGTCTCGGCCATGGGGTATAAAATTTATAAACTTGGTGGTTCTGAAGGCCCTGGGAAAGGTCACTTATTGGCCGGCCTCAGGGTCTGGCATGTCCTGAGTGGTGTAGAACCATAGCCAGAGGGCTAGTTCTTCTCCGTTTGCTGGGTAACGGCCCACTGCAACAGGCTTGCCCATACGACTGGCAGGAGCAATTGACAACCAGTGCTGCCTGGTGTCATATCCAGGTGGTGCGCTGCTCCCCTGGAAGGGTAATAGTGAAGGCTGAAGCTCCACGAAGTGCCCAAATGGGGAGTAGACCCGTAGTGTGATTTAGTTAATGGGGCGGGGAAGCCAATAACCTTGTTGTTCTACATCAGTAATTACTCTTAAGTTCTTCAAAACACTGTAAGAAGTTAATAAAACCTAATACGAATTCACAAAAAGGATTCCTAAACCAGTTTCCAGAAGAATCTATGTGCATTATTTCTAAATATTTCTGCAGATGTTTTTTAATTATCAGTAATATAAATAATTACACATCAAATTTTTTAAAACAAACATTAGGTACCTTATAAAATGATGTAATTAAAAAAAAAAGCTTTACTTGTGCAGGCCTGGATATTTCTGCATTTTGAATATTAGAACCTGGAATAAGAGGTTCATTTTCAGAAGCTGCTTCTTTATCCTGTGAAGGAGTGGAAACAGGTTGCTCACTGATACTTGACCTTGGCTGTATTTCTACAGATTCATTTCTGTGAGGTGTTTTCTTATGTTTATGGTATAATTTACGAAGTGGCTGATGATACTGAAAACTCTCTCTGCGATGCACTAAACAATTAGAGAATCCCAGATAATAAAAGTGTGATTATTTTATGATTAGAATAAAAAATACACATCAAGAATATAAAGACAATGTAACTTCAGCAAATACACATTTATATATTTTATTGAAATATGTGTACATGATACATAACTAAAGGTTTGTTAATGAAATACTTATTATCCATTCCTTACAGAACTGTGAAAAATAAGCTATTAAACAATTTACAGGTTAGGTGAAAATCAAAACTCTAGATAGACACAGCTGTCCATTAAAATTGCTACACCAAGAAAGAAAGCAAACACTGCATCTTGTTTATTGTATATATATATATATTATAATGGGAGGAAGAACAGATTAAATTTATAGGTGGTTTGGGGTAAACTGCTTGGATTACAGACACCTTATGCCATGCGGCTTCAATTCTGTGCCAAAGTTCATCAATCATAATAGCTGGCGCGAATGATGCCATGTCAGTTTCTTGGCAACCTATGACCAGATTTTCTCAATGAGTGAGGGATCTAGAGAGCATCAAACACCATTTGTATTAATTAAGGTCAAGACAGCATGGCAACATGCAGTCATACGTTACCTTGTTGAAAGATGGTGACATACAGGCCACGAAGATAGGACACAGCCTTATACAATTTAAAACATCAGATGTAAGCAGCTGCTCATATTACCTGCTATACAAACAAGAGGTGACTGGGATGTGCTATCAATGGCACTGCAGACCAGTATGTCAGGTCTGGGCCCATATGACAATGACAAATGCAAGCAAATAGCGTACATTCTTGTTGGTGCCTCCTCACACGGATATATAAATCATGATTCTATATGCAAAACTGGGATCATGATGCTATATGCAGAATTGGGATTATGATATGGTGCTAGTCTTGTGTCAGGATTATCATTCATCAAAACCACTGTAGGCATGCCTGCTTCTGCAGCATCAAGGAAAGACACAACAAAGGTTTCTGTGCTGACAATTTATGGTGCTCATTTGTCACTGCACTGTCTATCCAGACACTTGCTGGCCTGCAAATGAGCCAAGTCCTTGACTCAGGGTATGTGATGTGGCTGCAAAAACATGTCTGTTCTCTCAGGTGTTAGTGATACAGGGCTACTGAGATCCTGCATGGCATTCAGTATGGCCTTCCTAAACATATCAGTTTTATATTTCCTTAACCATGCTGGGATCCTGAACAACACAAATAGCAATGTCACAGAACAATAACCCAGAGTACCAATGGGCCAAATCTTCAGCAGTCAAATTCTGATATGTGCTAGTAGGAGTTTCTACATGGCTTTGCTCATACAAGGGTTGGACAAAAATACGGAAATACCTCGTAAAATGTATACCTGAATTGAAATGTTTATTCTTGCAAAAGCTATTGGTGGTGCTGATGTGTTTGCTCCCTAATGCCACCTGTACAACATCCTCAATACTTTGCAAATATCATTCGTAATCGAGACATTGTTCTGTGCAGTTGTGAGTGCATCATGTCAGAGCTAAATCAATTTCAACGCAGGCAAATTGCTGGGGCTTGTATGGTGGGTTCTTCTGTAACCAAGGTAGTTGAAGTGTTTGGTGTTTCAAGAGGCACAGTATCTAAGATTTGTAACTCGTACAGGAAAACCAGAAAAACTGCAGAGCTAAATTACAGAGCAGATGAAAATATGTTTTGAGTGATCATTGAGATGGAAAATCAGCCACAAAAGTGACTGCTGAACTGAAAGTCACACAAGCAAACTTTGTTGGCACCAAAACAATATGAAGGGAGGTTCACAAGCAAGGCATTTTTGGTTTGGGGGCAATTCAAAAACCACTCATCATTGATTACAATGCCTGCAAGAGGAGAAAGTGATGCCAAAGCCATAAAACCTATACTGTAGAGCAATTGAAGACTATCATTTGATCGGATGAGTCTTGCTTCAAACTGTTTCTCACTTTTGGGTGAGTTTATGTCTGACAAATGCCTTCCAAAGTATATCATAGAGACTGTCTGTGCCAAGAGTGAAACATGGCAGGTGTTCGATCATGATTTGGGCACCCATATCATGGTATTCCATGGGATCCATCATTACTGTGCAAGGTCACACTATTGCCAAATACACTCATGTCCATAAATTAAGGATAATTCGGAGTCACGCGGAAATCAAACTCTAAAATAAATATATCACCTGTAAAATCACTACACACATCTTTGAGAATCATATGCAAATTTCCGGAAGTAACCAGATAACACCGATGGTACGTCACAATGACGAGAGTGTAAGAGAGTGATATATAAGGAATACAGGCAAAGAAGTAAAATTGTTCGCAGGCGCTTTATAAGCATTTCAGTGCAATAACCGAATAGTTATGACACAAAGGACGCATTTGGAAGATTTTTTTACATGGTAGAATTATCGGCCGTCTGGAATGTGGGCGTACCCAACTGGAAGTATCAGACGAACTTGGAATTGCCCAGAGTGTCATCTCCAGGCTTTGGCAACGATTCCAAGATGATGGTAATGTGAGTAGACATCACAGCACAGGTCACCCCAGAATTACAACGCCGAATGAGGACCGGTATTTGGCAGTTACTGCCAAAGAAACAGGCGGAGCACAGCCTCAGACCTGTCTCGTCAGCTTTCTTCAGCCACTGGTACGACAATTTCAAGGCAGACCGTGTACAGACGCTTGGGGCAGATTGGTCTATATGCTCGTAGAGCTGTCAGATGCGTTCCACTTACTGCAACTCACTGTCGCCTGCGGTTAGCCTGAAGTAGAGAGCATGCATTGTGAATACCGCAACAGTGGGCTTGTGTAATGTTTTCCGACGAGTGCAGGTTTAGCTTGCACTCTGATTCTCGCCGGACTTTCGTATGGAGAGCTCCAGGTACCCGTTGCCACCAAGAAAACATCATTGAACGACGCCGTTACGGTGGTGCAGGAGTGCTCGTTTGAGGTGGAATTATTCTGGGTTCCAGAACTGACCTGCATGTTCAAATTGGAACTATGACAAGCCAAATCTATCGGGACGTCATTCTGGAACAACATGTATGTTTGTTTCGGGGCGCCATGGGCACACAATTTGTGTTTATGGATGACAACGCCCGTCCTCACCGTGCAAACATCGTAAGCGATTGCCTTCAATCGGAGGATATCACCCGTATGGGCTGGCCAGCATTCTCACCGGACTTGAATCCAGTAGAGCACGTGTGGGATATGCTTGGCCGACGAGTTACAGCCCGTCAACCTCCTCCTACATGTCTACCGAAACTTCGGAGAGCATTGCTTTTTGAGTGGTGTAATATCTACCAAGATCAGATCGATAATTTGATACTCAGCAAGCCTAGGCATTGTACGGGCTGTATTGCATCATCTGGGAGACATACAATGTATTAACAATCATACCAACCATCTAATATTGGTTTTTTGTAAATAGATTTTTTTTTTTTTTTTTTTTTTTTTTTGTAATTCGCTCCAGGGTGAAAAAAATCGCTAATTTTTTTAATTGTATCAAACATATAGCATCTTTTTTTGCTCTTTACCTTTTGTTCTTTACTAATAAGTCAAATTTGTGTTGCTTCTAACTCTTCCTTTGCCTGATTTTGCATTATCCTTAATTTATGGACATGAGTGTATTTGTGACCAATTTGGATGATCATGTCATTTGTGTAGCGATCATGTTATTCCTTATGTAAGAAGTAGAAACTTCTACTAGCACATATCAGAATTTGATAACATAGCTCCTGCTCACTCAGCTCACATCTTCTAGGCCTGATTTACTGAGCATGAGGGTTAACTTTTACATCTACCATGGTCACCACAATCACCAGATATCAATATCATTTAGCTTTTGAGGGCTATTTTGGAGAGAAATCTGCATAAGCATTATCCACTGCCATCATCGTTAACTGAACTTGCCAATGTTTTACAGGAAGAATGGTAAAAGATTCCCTTGTAAAGCATAAAAAGATGTCTATTTATCCATTTCGATATGACTGCAAGCTGTTTCGAATGCCAACAGTTTTCCTACACTGTATTAGTAACAGCAATACGTTTTTATTCAGTGTTTCCATATTTTGTCCAACCCCTGAACTTGCCTAGAGAACATGCACTGGAATGCATGTTCACTAGGCAGGTTCAGTGGTTTATGCTGTGTATTTGCACTTAAGGTTATCTTTCTAAAATAATTTATAAAGATAACCTTTTTTTAAATTTATGCCATGTGTAGCAAACACACAAACTAGTGCATGTAGTACCTTTCATGCAAATTCATGGTATTTTTAAACAAATTTTAATGGTCAACAGTATGAAATATGATTTATTTGCCATACATTATGAATGTTGCACAGAATGCCTTATTCACCTCAATACTTGATACAATGCAAAGAATTTAATGAATTTTGTAGAAAAATTAAATCTGCATATGAAATGAGCCCCAAATTCTATTTCGAGGAGCATAAACATTATTCTGAGTCTCTGTTGCTATGAATGATGACCACATTCCATATTAAGGTACTTCATTTGATTTTGAGAGTCTCTTTCTCATCAATATTTTGCACGCTTTTATAACAAATTTATTCTGAAAAAAAAAAAATAATTGACATACACTGGGTTTGAGAATGTCAGCTTATTAAAGGTTTTTACCATATTTCATTTAAATTAAATACACATTTTTTCCAGAAATTACTGCTATTCTTTCTTGTGAAAAAACTTAATGCATGAAAATTAATGTATATTATTACTTATTTGTTGCACGTCCTTATTTTATAAAGATAACCTTAAGAGCATTCAAATACTTTATAAATAATATGAAAGTAAAATTAATAATACTAACATTCATAATCATTTTCATCAAACCGCCGCTTTTCTTCAACTTCTGTTGTGCCTATTAAGTCAGCCAAAGAGAAATGATCTTTTGCAGGATGGAAAATCTCTTCCATTTCCTCATCCAAATCTTCATCTTTCCACTCATATTTTTCTTTCTGACTTTTCTAAAATGATATATATATATAGAGAGAGTCCCTATTTTTTTCCAAAGTTAAATTGGTTGAACAATACCAGATACAAATATCATAACTATTTAGAAATTATACATGATTCATATTTTTAAGAATGCAGCAATGGCTTCATATTTAGAAGCAAATAAATAAGTTGTAAGGAAAGATTGATACAATGCTGAAATTAGCGTCTGTATGTGTTTACTTAATTTCAAATTAAGATGATACATATCATTAAAATCGAGCAGTATGCTGCAAAAACAACTAATTAACGAAGATATAATAATAAATCAAAAGTAAATAATGAAAGATAGGCTATATGTAATATATTGTAGAGTCTAATTTGTTTAGGGAGCATAAAATGTAGACCCTACTGAAGACAAGATATGTCTTGAAAACATATAACTACCGATAAAGGTTACAACCTTTTTATTTGAACTTTACTGAACAAAACATGCACATACTAAGTGCTCCCAAGCTAATCACCATTTATGGCAAAGTAACTTAAGAATGAATCAAATTTCAAATACCACCATTTATGGCAAAGTAACTTAAACACAAAACAGTATGTACTATCAGAACGAATCAAATTTCAAATACAAGGCTTTCTCCTACTTCAGTCTAAACCAGATTTATCGGCTGTACACAGCAAAGCCAAGTCTAAAATATCAAATAATCTAAGAAAAAGTGGCTACCACAAATATTCAACTACAGAGCTACTTGCAAGCACGCGGCATAAACTCGTTCTCAGCATAAACCTGCTTTCCTTGTAGCTAACTTTTCTACTACTAACTCTTCAATTCTATAACTTTTTCTGAACTCACTGAGATTTTGTATATACCTCATTTAAATTTGCCTTCTGGTAGGAAATTGAAATCAAAAAAGGAAAGGAAAGTTTCTTAAAAAAATTATTGGTTAGTACAAAATAAGGTATTTACAATATGTATATATGTGAAAAATGTAAAATTACTAGTAAATTCAAAATCCATATTCAGATACAGAAAAGCAGAACAAACACGAAATTAGTTAAAATAGTGTAAAGAATCATTGAATAAAACTGATATAGCTCATAAATTTGTTAAAATTACATAATTGTGCGATAAAATTAAAAACGCGAGTAGTTTCAAAAAACATACTCGGGTATAGCAAAGCAGGGGGTGGTGGAAAAAATTCAATCAAATCAGTGGAAATAACCACTTCAAAAATTTGCAAAATGCGCGAAAATTTTCTTTTTTTTAAAAAAAATTGAAAACTAAATGATTTTACATTTTCTGTCACATCTGCATCACAGGATTGTTCTCTCGAAAAATGTAAAAGGAAAAAAAATAAGCCCGCTTCTGAGATAACTAATGAACAATTCATAAAATTTATTAATGTTTAGAAAAATTTTTACTAGGAAAAATAAATTAAATTGCATATCTAATATTTAACCCAGACACGCAAAAAAATACTACTTGACTGAAATTTAAAAAAAGGTACAGTCAAAACTGAAAATGGTCAGGGATTATAAAGCGCAAAAAGAATGTACCAGGGGAAAAAATGGGTGAAATTTATTTTAACCCTTACCCTTGTTGATACTTTAAGTAATACAGCATATGTGGATGAATATGGTGTGAACCTTAGTGCGATTTTAAAAATCGCACCAAAAGTGTGAGTTATAGTACACTTTCATAGAAAAAAAAAATTAATACTTTGACAAAATAATTGTAAAGAAAAACCTTTTTACTAACAAGGCACCAGCTTACTACTTCGTTACTTACAAGGTTTTTATCCGAATTACTATTTTGTTTCCTTGTCGTTTCAGATCCCAAATGTCCACGTTTTATAATGATGTCAACTAAACCTAGGCACCTGAAGCAAGGCCGGTATTACGCGTACCGATGTGTTGCGACGACAGCTTCCAATGATCATGCTATATTCCAAATCCCTCAACTCTACCAATGTCTTCACTATTTAAAGCAAATGCATGACTTCCGATCACTCCTTTATTAAACAGGAAAGCCCCAGACAGTTACTCTCTTAATAAAGTGATGTCGGAGAAGACAGTTAAATTTAAGGGTCTATGAGATAAATTCCCTATGTACAAGCCAAGCAAAGAAGAATGACCTTTTAATTGTTACTACAATTTGATGGCATCTTGGACAGTGATAACAACCCCATCCACTTCTGTGGAGATGCTGTAAGATCTCACTCTTTTTAATATCATAAATACCACTAGAACTTACTAAGAAACCTGGCGACTTCTCGCAAAGGTGTAAAAGAATACCAGCACAAAAGAAGGGTAAAATATCCCTTTATTATTCGTCAAACTGTTAACATAAAATGCACGCACTCCATGCTTACAGAAACACCGACGACTTGCGGTGGAACTTAAAAATAGTTCACAATAAATTCAAAGATAAAGAGTAGTGCTAGACTAACAATTTAATGTAAGGCTAACGAGGCTGACTCACAACCTACCTGGTGATGTACTTATTAAATGGTCAAAAAGGCTTATCAGAAACTCAGCATAACAACAGCAAAGACAAACTAGTAATGTGCACTGGCTAGTGAAATTACGCTCTAAATAAACTACAAAATTCATCGGTTTAAATACTCACTTCACTTAACTTTAAATTTGCATCCTGGCGAGGAACTGCAAACGGAAAATGAGAGGTTCAGGAAAGATACCAAACTTAAAATAATTCGTTATGCAAACTAAAACACTACATCGTGTCCGGATACTTTTGGTCATATTGTAAATTCTTAAATTATAAAAATAATTTACAAAACACAACTTACTTTCGATTTTTCTGCAGTGCTTGATTTTCGCCGGTTTTTGCTTTTATCATAGCTGGATTTCCTCCTATCCATTGTACTGAGCTTTCAATCTAATAAAAATAAATAAACATAAAAATTTTATTATTTTTGTGAAATTTACACATAAAAGGATCTAGTAAATCTGAATTCAAAAACGATCTCTACTTTTTAAATTAAGTTTCTCTATGAATTCCATATAGCTGTTAGATTCCAAAACTTATTTCTATTAAGAAAATAAGAGTTTTTAAAATGCAATTTGTTATTAATATCTGACAGCTTCTTGATGATTATCTTCTAGGTTAATGCTATTTAAAGAGTTTCTCTTAAATTTTCATGATATATTACACTTTTGAGGAAGAGTCATTATAGTAGCTTAGCGTCCAGGTGGCAGCCATGTGTTAAATCTACAAAAATAATTCCTCTAAAGACAAAAAGATAAATTACCATTCTCTACATTTTGTACAAGCATGTAGTACGACTACATTAACTAAAAAAAAATTAAGTAAGTACACGTTTACACGAGGGTCACTCTAAAATTGAGATAGAGCTAAATGATTCAAGTTAAACTTACAAAATTTTATTGTGTTCAAAGTACTTTCCTCCGACATTAACGCCCTTTTGGAGGGAAATTATTCAAAGATTCTATTTCAATTTTTCAACGATTTCAAACTATTCACCTCTTGGAACCGATGAAAAATGCGTTTTTATAGTTTCATCATTATCATTTTCTGAATGAAAACGACGGCCATGTAAATTTTGTTTTAGATTGGATGTTTTATCATACTGATGTGCTTTTGTTCATGGTGAAACAAGAGTTCCTTTATTTTCGTTGTAGTCATATTATGTAAACTTGATGTCTTTGATCAGCCTTGTACTGAAGTAGAAAATGGCGTCCAGTACTTTTTTCATTGTTTGTTGTCGTCTCATCATAGCTGATTAGGGGAAATCTTTAGTCTTTATTTTCCTGGCGTCTCGCGCGTTCTCGGTGTTTTTATGACGTTCTGACTTGCCCCACATTTTCGTATTCTATTAATTTATGGAGAACCCATCGACAAACTAATTTTTTTCACATGAAGTTCTTCATCAATAATTTTCCGTATCCCTGCGAATCCATGTTAATTTCCCTCTGTATCATTTGGTATGTACAGCGACTATCATTCATTAAACTTTCCGTGTGGCCGAGACATTTTCTAGGACTGCAGCCGACAAAGGTTTTCCAGTGCGTTCTTCATCTAGGAGAGAATTTCGACCTTTACGAAATTTTGTAAACCACCCGAATACAGTGCCATTTGACGGAGCTTGATTTCCATATGCTAATTTTAAAAGTATAGTTCTTGGTTTAGTCCCACCTTATAACCATAAAAAATTATAAAGAGATAATTATTGCCACAAAGTATCGTCCGTGTACACAAAGGGTTCAAATTTACATATCTAACAAATAACGATTTTTAGGGCATATTGTTAGCCACTGTCTCAAAAGGTTCAGAGTTACCTACGTATAGCAACAAAAAGAATCGGGGTATCAAAGTTAAAGGATGGCATTCATTAGACAAATCATAATGCCCGTACGAAAGATCTGACTTTCCTTAATTTTTAAGTCATTTTACTGATTATTTAGTTACTGACAATTTTATTTTGGTTAAAAAATCTTGAGTTTTCGAAATTTTAATCTCTTATTTTGATATACATATAGATATGTATATATATATATTTTTAAATTAGGTTCTTTGCCATCTGTCGTCTTCGTTAAATATTCAGTTATTGGTTCAATCACCTTCACTTATTTCAACTCAAGCTTAGGAAAAGATTGTTTGAATTTTCTTCTTATGATTTACGCAAAGATTTAATTAAGAAATTTACTATGGTTTTTTTGCTTTTCAATTCCTTGCATTAATTCTTCAACTGATTTTTTAAGTGCTATGACAGCCAGATCTCTTTAGGTTGAGATTCCTATTTCTTTATTTTTTCTTACTGTTCTTATTTACTGTATGCGTGTATAAATATTCACATTTTTTAGGTATTGACCCCTAAAATCCTTTCTCTGACTACTTTGATAGGAGAATTCAGTACCGCGTGGCCCACGGAAAAGTAGCCCGCCTTCAATACCACAGCCACTTTCTTTGGAGGACGCCGTAGTCCTCTGTCTGCTGAATGCAAGGCTAAAGATAAAGCAGCATTTCAGCTTGAGTTTTTATTTCTGTGCAGTTCGCGTCAAGAAAATATGTTGACTATCTTCTCATATTGTCGCCGGAAGCGAGCTGCTTTTCTATGGCCACAGATTATAAGCATTCTATAGAATACGGTAATAAATTTTCTACCAAAGTTGGTAAAAACTATTCATACACGAGGATAATTAAGGAAAGAAATCTACATTCTGTAAAGAATACATTAAATGAAGCCTTTAATTTGCGACTTATCAACATGTATAATTTTCACACAGTATTTTAAATTTACAGTACACAGTATTTTAAATTTCGGATGGACACGAGGATCACACACGCGTGATTGGGAATCTGCAAAGCAAAGTTTAATGGAAACAATTTACTTACAAGGCTTATTTATTATAAATACACAGAACCTCATAAAAAAGCATAAATCTGTTAAGTAATAACAAGCATAATAGTTATGAAATTAAGATTCCAGTTATTATTCTAATTTGAAACAATTCTAGCATCAAAATCGAAAATGTTTTTATGCGATATACAATGCGTTTCATGAAACAATGTTGGAAATAATCAATGATTTCCAAAGAATAACTAAATAAACGAAAATTAAAATTGCAAAAAATTCCTCTTGCGAAATTTGATAGATCTGTCAGTTAACTATGCATAAAAACCTTTCACAGAACAACACAATGCATATAGATACGTTCCCTGTAAGCTAGCTTTCGCTGCATGCTTGATTCACACAACGGAAAACTCATTATACAGGTTCCTAGAAAGCTTTCGAAAGTTCACCGAGTTTTATTTTCAAATTTGGAAATCGAAATTTATGCCAGAATGCTTTTCACACCGGAATCATAAAATCGTCGGTACAATCTTAGACATATAATTGTCAACTAAATTAAGCTTATTTATAACGTTAAATAAATCTTATTTAAAAGAACCACTCATTTCATATCAGCGATTTTTTTAGCTCTTCATTTCTGAAAATATCCAACACATCTCAGGCCAAGCTATCAACCGATACATGAGACTTTAATGCAAATTGTTCACTTTGCATATGTTTACTAGTTCACACATTTCGCATTAAGTAAACATTAAAATTTTGGGTTTTATGAGGGGAAAAAACACCTGTCTATTAACGACATAATAATTCAGTTATCATTTTCGAACTAATGAACCAGATGGAATTAGAAAAATACATAATACGAAAATTAATAAGACTGCATTTTAAATACAGTTTCTCTTACAAAAATGCAACTCATAAAAAACCAGAATATTTCGTAAACGACCATTTCTAGTTTTGAGAACTATGAATACCACACTCTATAGTTATATCTTTTCATCTAATTTTTACATACATACGCCAACAGCACATCTCTCTAAGTAAACATTAAACACATTGCTTTATAAAATGAAGTAAAGGGGAAAATTTGAACTCTCCAGTATTCAAGAAAAGAACATGATCTGAGCAGTTTCAAAAACACTTTTTTGGAATACCGTTATCAGCAGGAGTACACCATACGCAGATTTCATTATATAAGGATAAATTTTACTAAAGTTTTTAATTTTTTGTAACTTTTCAAAAACTTCTGCTAACGAAAGTTCATACATTTTCAAGAAGCATTTAAAAATACATCAAATTTTGAAATAGCTTAATCCGTCAACGATCGAGTTTAGTTAAGCGAAGTTCGGTTAAACAGGGTTTTGCTATCAATACACAGTGGTATGCAATGCGTTTAACAACGAATTCATTATTGATGTTCATTGATGACTAAAGAACTGAACATTCGGTTATTTATATTCTTCTGTTTAACTGAAATTTACAATGGAAATCATTTTACAGCAAGGATGTTTGGCGTTGGTGAAAGCTCCATACGTGAGTGGAAGAAAAATGTAGCCACAATAATTGAAATGGCAAAGAATAGATAGGTTTTGCTTAAAGAAGTGAAGAAATGGCCTATCCTAGAAGAAAATGTTGCGAACTGGGCCTTAAAAAACCGGCAGAACGGATTAACTGTTACACGAATAAGTTAACCCATTCCATACATGAGTGATAGAAAAATGAAGCCACAGGTAACTGAAATGGCAAAGAATAGATAAGTTTTGCGTAAAGAAGTGAAGAAATAGCCTAGCCTAGAAGAAAATGTTGCGAACTGGGTCCTAAGAAACCGGCAAAACGGATTAACTGTTACAAGAAACAATTAATCCATTCCATACGTGAGTGGAAGAAAGTTAATCGATTCCATACGTGAGTGAAAGCTCCATACGTGAGTGATAGAAAAATGATGCCACAAATAATTGAAATGGCAAAAAACAAATAAGTTTTGCGTAAAGAAGTGAAGAAATGGCCTAGCCTAGAAGAAAATTTTGCGAACTGGGTTCTAAAAAATCGGCAGAATGGATTAACTGTTACAAAAAACAGCGTACTTTTATTTGCTTTAAAGCAACTTTGAGTTGGTGTAGTCGATTTATGTTACAGAATAATTTAGTTCTACAAGAAAAAAACAAAAGTTTCGCAAAGGCTTCCGAAAGATTTGGACGACGAATTGATACGTTTTCAGTAAATATGTTACTGAACTACGAAGGGCAAAAAATTATTTACTCTAACGTACTAAAAATGTGGATGAAACTCTAGTAATGTTTAATATGATAGGAAATAAAACCATTGATGCAAAGGGGGAGGGGAAAGTTCAACTAAAAAAAAAAAAAAAAAAAAAAAAACTCTCACCTCACTTAGTGTTGTTTTCCTTAGCGGACGATGTAAAATTAAAACCCACAGTTATTTTTAAAACAAAGACGAAGCCGAAATGTAATAATTCCCTAAATGGTGTTTTCATTCATCTTCACGAGAAAGGATGGATGCACAAAAAGATGTAAAATTTTGGATAAAAAAAGTTTGGCCAGAA